CATCCCTCAGGCGGAGGAGGGTAACCCGCTGCCTCCCTTCCTCCAGAGGATATGGAGATCGAGAAGACGCCTGGGGAGGCGCCGAGGAGATCACGGTCATTCACCCGATTCCTGAGGAGGAGGAGACGGGGAGGAAGTGCCAGGAGGAAATGGCGATAGATATGGCCGGGGGTGGTCCGCCTTAATACTTGAAGTGTGACAGACGTGTTTCTAAATGCTCCGTCTTTGTTGCGCCTTTTGGACGGTTGTTTGCGCCTTTGGGTGTCTTATTTGGGACTGATATGTGCGGTTTTTAGCGAGGAATCCGCCGATATACTGGTTGTCATACTTTTAAGTGTTTTTCTGCGTTAAAACTTGTTAAACTGTGTCTTATAAATGCACCATATGTTAGACTTTTGCGGACTCCTTTGTGCATTTTGGACCAAAGTTATATGCATATTCAATGCAGGGAAGTGTATAGACTTTGTATTGCGTGCTTACGGACACGGTATTGTGCTAATTGCGCTGATTATTAGTGGATTATATGATATACAGACGATGACAATGACATTTAGGGTCCGTATCCGCTGTTTCGGCTGTGCGTTCCGGTTGTCTTTAGATGCGAGGATTAAGCTGCTTCAGACCATGAGGCTTTTGATTGGTGGACGCTTTTCGAACTAAGACGTCATGTGGCTATAGACATGGAGCTCTACCTTGGTGTTCCTGCGGATGCCTTAAGCTATCCTAAATTTCTTGCAATCGGATTGGCCGGCGAACATTGGTATTATGGCATCATGCTTTGATAGTGCTTCCTACTACCACGGTGATGTGCTTCACATGGTCGCTTTGATTTTTGTTAATCTTGGACGCTGTATAATAGGAACATAGACGGTAGTCCGCATTTAATTATGGTCAGTGGCATTAATTTTTGCTATGTATATAGACGATGATCTGCATCCACTTTTACGTAACGAACACTGATTGGTGGACAACGTCGGATTTCTTAATTTTAATATTAAGTGCCTTTTTGCGTTATTTTAAGACTTATAAGTGTAAGACAGTTTATGCACTCCTTATTTTTGTCCGCAAGTGCATATGTGATCTTAAGTGCGTTTTATGCACTTTATGCATTTTCAGAGACTTTGGAGGGCCGTAGCGGCTAGACGGCTTGTCGTAGGATTTTCGGACCTTGACCTATCATTTCCGGTGGTCTCAAGGACTTGATGCTGAAAAGTGAAGGGTCAACTTTGTCGCTTAATTGCGGCTAGACGGCTGGCCGTAGAGGCCTGGGACCTTTTGCGTTGGACTCAAGAGGGTCTTCCATTAATTTATGCGACCATTGAGGGTAGAGCCCTTTGCGCATTTTTCGGCCCTTTTTGGGTTTTTTCGCGGAAATAGCTCTGGTTTGTTCCCCGAGTTCGATGGGCGTCTTTGCGGCGAGTTAAAGCCCTTCGTTCGGCTATGATAGGACCATAAAGGGAACGCTTTACGTAAAAGCTATGTTAATGCGATTTTTGCGCTGTGTGCATTGTTGTATGCGGTCTTGTGAGTCATAAATTGACATTGACAGTGTGAAGAGCCCGAAGGGCTAGCTTTGGATGCCTGTAGGCGCCGAACCGTTGGCGTGTGGACTCTGGATCTTTTTCGTTGCGTTCAGGAGGTTTGATAGTGCGGATTTGTAGTGTTAAAGAGCTCTTTTATCTTTAGCCTTTTTAGCATTCTTTTTCTAGACAATTCAGAATTTTGGTTGGGAGAGCTAAGCGAGTCTTTTCTGACACTACTGTGCGGTACTTGCGTGCTTTTGCTCTTTGCGCTTGCGTCTAGCATTTGTTTTTGTTCGCCAAACTATTTTATATCTGATTTTCTGGTGACATTGTTGGCTGCGTTATGGTGCACCTGCCGTACTGGAGACGCATATTGGACCTTTTAGCCATGTGGGTTCTGCGGTGGGGCTATTTGTTGGTTGATACTCTTTGCAACCTGCGGCGAGCGTGATCTGCGGATCTTGAAGCATTTTCGGCCTTGTATGCTTTGTGCGGAGTGTCTTCCAGTAATGTGACCTTTGTGATCTTAGTCTGGGTCCTTATGCGGTAGCGGTCCGCTATACCGCTCGAAGTGAGGTCCTCGTACTAACCTCTTTATACTTATAGACATGGAAGATAAAGAACTTAAGTCAACGGCGGGCTCGGATACGTCGCAACATTAGCAGGGTTATCGTCCCATACCCTGCCTTGTCGTCAATGAGTAATAAGCGCAGGCATCCTTCTGACGGTGTGTTGCCGGCGGGCACACCTCAGGGAACTACTACCGCCGATGATACTTTGGGCGAGCTACCCGCGGAATTGTTGGAGGATCCGCTGAAGTTGTTTGGTGCGGAGGAGTTTATCTTCGGCGTTACACTTTCACCTTTGAACGTTTCGATGGCTGAAGATGCTGGGCAGGTTTTACCCTTGTTCACCGGGGCATCACCGGTGCTCACATCTGGAAGTACGCCTCCGCCTCTTGTTTCTGCCAAGGATCATCGTTGGCGAGTCCGGTCAAGCGGATGGAGATGAAGCTGGATCATCTGTGTTGCTTGTACCGGTCGATTTGGATGGTGACCCTCTAGGTGCTTGGCGTCCTAAATGGCCAGCCTCTACTTCACCCAGGGATGCAGATACCTCGATAGATAAGCCTTCTGGAGTCGGGGGTGATGGCGTTGGCTCATGTCGCCGTCTTCGTAGCGGCAAAGTCATTCCTCGAGAAATCATGAGCTCATATTCTGAGGGAATAGCGGCCGGTGGCTCCAGCTCAATCGCTTGATTACGTCCGGCTGTGCCGCTGGTGTCGGCGGCGAGACTCGTCGCAAGACTCGGAATCAGGCAGCCACTGCTTCTTTGATGATCTCTTCTTCCTCTGATGAGGAGAAGTAAGTGAAGTGATCTGCGACGATGCCTAAGAAGAAATCGGCGTTGTCTCGGAAGCGTAGGAGGAAGACGGATGCGAGGGCTGACCCGGACCCGGTGGAGACGGCTTCGGAATTGGCTGCTATGGAGGTCGTTGGTTCACTGAGTACACTTCTATGGCTTCTGCGGCTATGGGCCCTTGGTATCGAGTGGCTAGACGACGTTGATCAGGTTCCCTAATATATACGGCAAATTCAGCGGGCGCATGAAATCCCTGATGGCCGAGCTGAGGGACCTGGTAAAAACGCTTGTGGTTAGGGCGGAGTCATCGGGGGATCCGTCCTATCTTCGTGTGAGGACATCTGAGCTATCTGTACAGCTCCGTGACCTCAAGGAAGATCACGAGAAGGTCAAGCTGGAGCTTGAGAAATCGAGAAGGAGGATCCGTGATTTGGAGGCCAAGCTGGTGGAGAGAGATAGCGGCAGTAAAGCTCCCGTCAAGGAGCCTTTCCTGGCTCCCGCTGCTACGAAGCTAGACCTGGGTGTATATCAGTTGGACGGGGCAATTGGACACAGTCCAATCACAAGTCGCTGTTCCAAGAGACCCTACAAATGTCTCTAATCACACGGTGCTGTGATTGGCTGTGTCCAAATGCACTGTGTCCAAGTGCACCGCTCTCGCTGGACCTTCGTACGGAGTTGGAGCTCGATACTGCGCGTCGCATTATCTATGAAAGCGAAGGCGAGTCTGGTAGGGTGGATAGCAGCCCAGTTCTGAGACCCCCGCTTGGTGGTGTCTCTGATTCGATCCCTTCGCAACTCTTTCTGGATAAGGGTATCAGGGATAATGCACGGCGCAAGTATAAGCTGTCCACGCGTATCTCCGAGCTGGTTAAAACCAGGAGAGAAGTGCGTGCCAATGCTGGACCCGTTGAAACACAAGATTCTGCTTCGAGCCCATCGATTTGCGGAATGCCTTTTCGTGGTCGAGGATCCATCATCGTCGACAATGTTCAGGTCCTCCCTCCTCAGGTGCAGCGTGCGAAAGGTGGAGGGGTTAGTGACGCAGTGGTGCCTGGGGAGCTCGCTTGTGTTGATTCTGCGAAGGATGATGCGCTGCCGGTGACGGTGACTGATGACGGCGAGGAATGGCAGTCTTCTGGTAGGGCCGCCAAAGTAGCAAGGAAAAAGGAGCAACGGAACGAGAGGGCTGTGGCCAGGGAGTCCCGCCTGGCGTCTCTGCATGTCACCCCGACGCAGGAGAGGGTGGCTCCTGTGGCGCAACACGAAGCCCGGGTGTCTCAGAACTTGACTGGGCCTCCTGTTAACAAAAAGGCTGATCCGCTTCGGCCTACGCGTGTTGGACCGTCGCGAAATAGGAGAGCACCCACAACAGCGGCAATAAATATTAAATATGCAGCTGGTGGTTCGTCGTACGCGGAAGTACAGCATAAGGCGCGGCAGCAGATCCAGGTTGATGGACTGGGTATCGAGAGTACCCGGGTAAAGTGGACGGCCAATGACACCGTCCTCATCGAGGTGGCCGGCGATTACCGTACCCAGAAGGCAGACTCGCTTGCTGCCAAACTCAAGGAGGTTCTTCGGAGTGAAGCCGAAATTACCAGGCTCATTGTTAAAGGAGAACTGAGACTTTGGGGTCTGGATGATTCTGTCTACCCGGACGAGGTGGCGTGTGTGGTGGCTGCCTTCCGATCGAAGTCGAGGTGGGACTAATTAGGAGAATGGCCAACTGCCTGGGTTCAGTTTGGGTCCAGTGTCCGTTGACAGCGGCTATGAAGGTGGCATCCCCCGGCAGGATGCGGATCAGGTGGACAATGGAGCGATCAGTGCGCGTGGAGCTGCTACGCGCCCGCCGTATTCAGTGTTTCCGCTGTTGGCTGTTTGGACATATTAGACACGCGTGCAAAGCCGAGGTTGACCGATCGCGGGCATGCTTCTGTTGTGGCAGAGATGGACACACTGTCCGGGATTGTACAGCGGCACTTCACTGTGTGGCGTATGATCTGAGCGGGAAACCTGCCAACCACTAGATGGGCTCTATGGTCTGCGGTGCTGCTGCTGACGGGAAGAGAAGCGGGCCGGGGCGGAGGGCTGGCCCCACAATAACACCCGGCAATGAAACTTAGGCTCATACAGGTGAACCTTAATAAGAGCTGGCCGCCCTACGATCTACTAGGCTATCACATGGTCGAAAATGTCATTGCGTTGGCAATACTGTCGGAGCCCCCACGAAGACGACCAGATGCGGTGGAATGGCTCGTCAGTAGGAGCGGCAGTGCTGCCATTTTATGGAGGTCCAGCCATCTTCTGCGGACATGCACTCTTGCCCGGCAGGGGAGGGACTTTGTTGCGGCTAGAGTCGGTAGGATAACGGTGGTCTCGTGTTATATATCTCCAAACACCACGAAGGGCCAGTATCTTGAGTTTCTCGACAAATTGGGCGACCTGATTGGGGATGTCGGAGCTCGAATCCTCGTGGGGCGCGATTTTAACGCGCGATCAGCCTCATGGGACTCCAGGGTCACGAACATCAGTGGAATCCTGATCGAGGAATGGGCAGCAGAGTGTGAGTTACGGCTCGTCAACGTGGGAGGTATATCTACTTGCACGAATTGCGGATATTCGGTGGTCGACCTGACTTGGGTGTCGACTGACCTTGTTGGACTGATGAAGGACTGGGCTGTTGCTGTGGACATGGAATCCTTATTGGACCACCGCTAAACCCACTACAGTGTGGGTGGATTAGTAGACCGGTTGGGTGGTCGGTCTGATCAGCGCAGTAACCACCCTTGCTGGAACTACGATGGAATAACAGGATGGACGCGGCACCCTTATTATGATGCTGGAATGGCTCAGAGCTGCGGGACCCGATGCGAGGGATTTTGCGTGCGCGGAGGCTTTCGCAGGATGGGTGAACCGCACTATGCGCCGTGAGTGCGACATTGTGTCCCCCAGAGTGGGTAGATCTTCCACTAGGCGGAATGCCTATTGGTAAAACACACAAATCATCGAATATTGCAGGGCGTGTATTCAAACGCGTAGAATATTAACGCGGTATAATAGCAGACAGGCGCGGAACCCTACACCCGATGAACTGGTGGAGAGGGAAAGAAGGCAGCTTCGACAGGCATATCAACTTGCACGCTCCGTAGGGCCATAACGAGGGCGAAACTCGAGTCCTGGAAAAAAATTTGTAAGGTCGGTGGAGACGGATTCTTGGAGTAGACCTTACCTCTTGGTCCTGAGTCGCCTGAGTCGTTCCTCTCTGAGGTTAACGGAGAGCCTTGAGGAGGGGACGCTACGAAATCTGATGTCATCGTTGTTTCCCGCGAACAATGAAGAAGCTGCCGAACCGCTGCTTCCGTGCACGTGGAGGGATGAGTTTGCGGTGCAAACGACGGAGATCAGTTGCGCCGTTTGGCTGAAGAGGCACAAGAATGTGGCGCCAGGGCCCCAGCGGTGTTCGGTTCTCCGTTTTGAGACATGCCCCGCCGGAGATGCTTGAGCGTCTTGCCGAGTGTTACACGGTGTGTCTAAGTCAAAGGATCTTTCCGACTATCTGGGAATGCGCTTGTTCTCATCCCCAAAGTGGGGAGTCTCGCGAGTCCCATTCCTAAGGTGCGGCCTATCTGCCTTCTCAGCGAGGTTGGCAAGATGTTCGAGAGGGTCATCGTTGCTTGAATAAAGAATTGGATGGCTGAACACCCCACTTCTGAGCTGTTCAACCATCAGTATGGCTTTCGTGAGGGCAGGTCGACCTGTGATGCTCTTTTGCGACTCCGACAGGTGGTGACAGAAGCGGTTGACGATGGTGGCGTCGCGATAGCCGTCAGCTTAGATATCTCCAACGCAGTCAATTCACTGCCGTTTGCGCGGATTAGAAAGGCTCTGAGCAGAAAGGTTTCCTGTACTATCTAAGGAAAATCGTCGACGATTATTTGCTAGGACGCTTTGTCGAGTACTCTGTAATGAGAGGCGGCGTGGCACGCTGGCCGGTTGAAGCAGGAGTTTCCCAGGGCTCTGTCCTGGGTCCTCTTTTCTGAAACCTAAGGTACGACGCGGTGCTGGAGTCGCGCTTGTTGGACGGGTGCCATATACTCGGGTATGCTGACGACACATTGGTGGTGGCTACTGCGAGGACGGTGGAGGTGGCCAGCGTACAGGCCAACATGCAAACGGCGGCGGTGGTACAGAAGATTCGGCATCTCGGTCTCTCAGTGGCGGCGTAGAAAACGGAGGCGATTCTCTTCTATGAACACAGGAAGCCACTGGACTTCCCGAAGATCAGGGTCGGGGATGAATATATACAAGTAAGCAGTACTCTAAAATACTTGGGTATAATCCTGGATAGCCGCTGGAAGTTCCACGATCGCTTCCAGTATGTTGCTGCAAAGGACATGAAGGTGGCTCGCACATTGGGCCGCCTCATGCCTAACCTCAGAGGCCCGGAGTCTAAAAGGAGGCTTTACGCTTCGGCGGTGATGTCCGTCATCCTATATGGTGCACCGGTGTGGTGTAATGCGCTTGCGCCAATGACGCCATCTGCGAGGCGGGCTCAAGCGTCTGTTATGAGAGCCTTTCTGACCTTAAAGGTGGTCGCCGGATACCGCTCGATATTGTTGGAGGCGGCTTCGTTGATTGCGCGAATCCCACCGCTATACCTGGTTGCGACATATTACCGTCGCATGTTTGAGCGCATTCGCGACATGAGGTTTTATGGAGTTTGGACTCTGGAGGCCGAGCAAGAGGTCCACAATATGGAGAAGCTTCTGCTCGAGAGACAGTGGCGTATCCACTTGAACCAACGCGAGCTATCAGGGGCGAGAGTCCGGAATGCGGTGTTGCCGAATTTCCTTGAATGTATACACCATAATAGGAGGCGTGGATAGTGAGCTTTCACCTCACCCAGATCCTTACGGAACATGGGTGCTTCAGGGACTACCTGTGCCGTATTAGGAAGGATGATACCAACGTATGTGCACATTGTAAAGCGAGGACGAACTATGCCCAGCACACTTTGGAGGAGTGTGTGACTTGGAAGGTTGAGAGAGCGAAACTTAGGCGGATGGTAGTTGACGATCTGACCCCATCTTCTCTTGTAAGAGGAATGCTCGAGAGCGAGGAGAATTGAACGGCCGCTGTACATTTTGCTGATTCGGTCATGTCGCAGAAAGAGGCTGCGGAGAGAAGTCGGCAAGCCGTTAGTGCTGAGAGATACTCGGTGCCTCCTCGCAGGGATGACTCCCCGTCCTAGTTGCGAGGAATGGAATTTCCACGGGAGTCTTGAGATGCAGGAGCCATATGGGCTGGGGCTCTCGGTTCCATACGTCTTAAACAGGTAGGGGCAGCGGAGTGAGGTGATGTTCTCCCTTGCTGTAAGTTAGTTTAGGCAGGAGTGCGGAATAGCACTAGACCGGGGGAGGTCCTAAACGGTATGCGTAAGCGTTTCTCGGGTCCTCCCTGGGGCTATAGTCAAGGTAGGACACTCGAGGAGGTTTTAGTCGGTATAAGTTCGCCATACCCCGATCTTATACCAGTAAGGTCGGGGTATGCATTTCCTCCCCGTAACCAAAAAAATATGGCCGGGGGAACACTCTCACTGCGCCACGCGTCTCTTCTGAGAGCACGCGGAGATCCCGCCCATGGGGCAAAAAGATCCCAAAGGGGGAGGGGGGTTGCGGCACTGATTGCGGCTGGCGGGGGTACGCACCTGCCGCCGCGGCGGTCGGGCAGCGCGCGGTTTATCCCTCCGGAGGCCACGGGGGGGAGCGATACCCCTCAATAAGAACTGGGCTCCCAGAAGGACCGGATGGAGGAGCGGAGAACTTGTAGGCCATGGAGGCCGCCCCTCCCGGGGTTTCCGGGGGGGGTCTTCGTGGCCCCGGGATGCTCCTTGGGAGGGATGGGGAAGGGCTAAAACGAGGGGTGGGGCACGGGACACGGCCCCTGCTCCCCCCCCCTCCGCCCAAATCTTCCCCGTCTTTCGCTTCCACTGTGGCAGAACAGCCCGGTGAGGGAGGCAAGAGGCGGGGAAGAAGAAGAAAAAGAACACGACGGGCGACTCGCGGCCTCCGGCCAAGCGGGTCGTCCCATGCACCTGCGGGAGAAGTGGGCCCCTCCCCCTGGACCGGACCGAGCCGCGGTCCGGGAAGGGACCCAATCCCCTCTCCCATCTCGGATTCGAAACATGGGCCCGGGTGATGAGGAGGAGGTAAAAAAGAGAAAATACGGAGGGCAATCAGGCACTCCAACCTGCCCCAAAGGGTGGCGGCAGTGACAACCTGCGAACGGAAGAGGCCGGAAGGGATAGTCAAAGGACCCCCAGGTAGAGAAAGGTGGGAAACCCACCCTCCCCAAGGCTCTTCGCGCCGCCGCACTCACTGTGAGCTTCAGCGGGCAGCAACGCCGAGGTGATGCAGCGGGCGACGAACACCATAGATCTAGAGGCCATCGGGATCGGTGAGATCCGGTCAAAGAGGGCAGCTATCGGTGCCTTTATGCTGCAGATTCCCGGTCCCGAAGGGCACGCGAGGGCAGATGCCCTTGCGGTTATAATATCAGTTCTCTTCGCCGACAAGGGGGACATGCGAATCGCACGTCCCTCGAAGAGGGCCGATATCCGAGTCCGCGACTTGGACGATGCGGCCATCGTGGAAGATATAGTCTCCGCGGTGGCGGTCTTCGGGGGTTGTGGACCCGGAGACGTAAAAGGCGGAGCAATCCGGCCCAGGACGGACCACTTGGGGACGCTGTGGGTGCAGTGTCCCTTTGCGCCCGCCCGAAAGGTGGTGGACAGAGGACGTCCCAGGATAGGGTGATCCTCCGCCCGGATGGAGGCCTTGGCGCCGCACCCGCTCCAATGAGTTAAGTGCTTGGAGTGGGGCCACGTCAGAGCCTCCTCTAGGTAAGACCGACCGCAGTGGTCTTTGTTACGACTGCGGGTCGGCCGGCTACAGGGCTACGGCGTGTGACGCACCGGTGCCTTGCCCCGGTGACACCGCGTGCCCTGGGGCAAATAAGGGGAAGGGGGAAAAGAGGGAGGAGGAGGTGCAAGGCCTCAGACGCCCCCTTCCAGAGCCCCCCTCAAGAGAAAAGCGGGAAGAAGGCTTCCCCCCGCACCAGTGTAGGGGGAGCAACAGCCGGCAGCCCCGTATCCTACCGCGGACCCTACTCGTTTGGAGTAGAGGTCCCCGCGGAGGATCATGGTAAAAAGAGGAGAGCCGCGTGTCGAGAAGACTTCCGAAGGGGATTCCTCGACCGCAGTAAAAAAAATAGGAGGGGCCTGGAGAAGAATAGTGGCAATTGCCGCGATGGAGACCATCCTCCTCGAGGCAAACTTTAACGGCGCTCGTGGAGCACAGGACCTGTTCCAGCAGGTCCTCCACGAGCGCGGTGTAGAGCTGGGGATCGCCGCCGAGCCCTACTCTGTCCCTGGAAGTCGTCCATATATAGTGGGTGACGTTGTGGAGCGGCGTGAGTGCTTAGTGACGATCCACTGGAGAGGGGACGAAGCCTCTCCTCCCTTCTCAGTTATAGAGAGGGGAAGGACAATGTCGCAGTCGAGTGGGGAGCCCTAGATGTGTTCGGGGTTTACGCTTCGCCCTCGTGGGACTTTGCCCAGTTCGAGCACTTCCTGCACCGGCTGGGGGACCTCATGACGAGGCGCCCCAGGCCGGTCCTGGTGGCCGGGAACTTCAACGCCAAGTCGGCGTTGTGGAGTCCTCGATCAGGTATCGCAAGGACGAGATCATAGAGGAATGGGTCGCGTCTTACGGCCTCTGTATCATCAACAGAGGCCGAAGGAGCACCATCGTCGGATCGCGGGGGAAATCGGTGGTAGATATCATTGGCATCTACCTCCGCGGCCCGACTTATTAAGGACTAGAAGGTCGTGACCAGAGGTGAAAACCTTACGGACCACCGTTACATAGTGGTCGCCACTCCAGAGGAGGTGCTTTAGAAGCGCGACCTAGGGAGCGCCCGGCCACGGAGATAAGCCCACTCTAAGCTCGATTGCGACAAGCTGGTGACCACCTTATTGGCGGCCACTTGGGCGGAGCCGGGTCCCATACGTGGGAGCCCGCAATTGAAGAAGAAGTGGCCGGGATTCGGGACATGATGGCGGCTTGCGATGCCGCCATACCCCGATCCCGATTGCACCCCTGCCAGTCCGTGTACTGATGGTCGGCGGAGATTGCCGAACTGTGGCGCTCCGCCGGCCAAGCCAGGAGAGATATAGACCGGAGGAGAAGGAATGAAGACGGCAGGGTGGCCGCCGAGAGGGCCTACCGCAAAAATCGTGGGGCCCTTAAGGCGGCCATCGCTGCGTCCAAGGCCCGTGTCTGGGATGACCTGGTTTCCACCATCGACAGAGACCCGTGAGGGCGCCCGTATCACATTGTGATAAAACGCCTGCGTTCTTGGGCACCCCTACTGACAATGTCCCTGGACCCCAAACTCCTCGATGAAATTGTGGGGGCCCTCTCTCCATGGGAAGAAGCTTGCATTTCTCCCTATGAGGGCCCCCCGTCAGATGGGGAAGACGAGGGGATCGGGGTCATGATGAAGGAGATGGGCAGGGCCGTCAGGAAGCTCGGCACAGGAAAAGGGCGCTGGGCCCTGACGGCATCCCGGGCACAATCTGAGCCTTGATAATGAGGGTAGGGGAGGTGAAGAGCCGCGACATGCCGCTCCTGTTTGAGGACCAGGGTGTTCTCCAGTCCCTGGAAGAGAGCCAAATTGGTGCTCTTCAGGAAGGGGGCAAAGCGGGAGATAGCCCTTCCGCTTTTAGACCGATATGCATGCTGGAAGTGGGGAAATTGTTCGAGAGAATAACTCACTACAGCCTCGTCCGGCATCTATCCCGGTGTAATCCCAAGCTCAATGAGGAGCAATACGGCTTCCGGGAGAGACGGTCGACAGTGGACGCGATTCTGCGGGTCCGTTCCCTTTTGGAAACCGTCGGGGGGGGGGGGG